GGAAGGATGAGGTGGAGGGATCACCGGAGCCCAGCAGGTGGAAGCTGCGGTGGCTGGGAGCGGCCACTGCACTCCAGTCTGGGTGACAGAGTGAGACTCCAACTCAAAAAAAAAAAAAGAAAGAAATACACATCCTTCTATCTTTGACAGCCCACACCCCAATCTGTGCTCCTGCTCCCAGCAACCCCCCACCCATTGCTTTGTTCCATCAGTCCTGCCTCTGTCACTCAAAAATCCTTCTCTCTCCAATAGCTCCCTCTCTTCTCTCCTTGTTTGCTTAGGGTCCCTCCCAGTTACCCCCTTGAGCTACTGTCCTATGGCAACTTCAAGGACTAAAAAGAAGTCAGTGTGGCCAAACTGAAGAGAGTGAGGGGATCAGCGGTGTGCCGAAGGTAGGCAGGGGCTTGGAAGCCACATTAAGGGGTTTTTTTGTTTGTTTGTTTGTTTTTATGAAGAAGAGAAATTCAATGTTGGGTTTTACGTTGAGGAATTTTGTTCACTAGCTAGATCCCAAGTGCCTGGACATAGTGCTGGAAAACATAATACGTATTCCATAACAGTTTATATAATCAATTAACTGGAATGATCTAGACAGAAATGACATGATCCAATTTTGGGGTTTTTTTTAGTTGGGGTGTCACTCTGACACCCAGGCTGGAGTGCAATGGCACAATCATGGCTCATCACAGCCTCAGTCTCCTGGACTCAGGCGATCTTCCCGCCTCAGCCGCACCTGAGTAGCTGGGACTGCAGGCAAGCACCACGACGTCCAGCTAATCTTTAAAATTTTTTGTAGAGATGAGGTCACACTTTGTTGCCCAGGCTGGTCTTCAACTCCTGGGCTCAAGCAATTCTCCCACCTCAGCCTCCCAAAGTGCTGGGGGTACAGGCATGAGCCACCACGCCCAGCCTGATTTTTATTTCTAAAGGATTACCCTGGCTCCAATATGAAGAATGGATTGAGGGGAGGGGGTAAGAAGAACATTAAGAAAGCTGTTACAGTTATCTTTGGGCAAACTTGCAAATGGCTATATAGGCTTGGTGATGGAAGTGGAAGGAATTCCTCTCTGATGGGTTGGAAGACAAGAGCATCTGCTGAAAGTGAGAGGAAGGTAGCCAGGAAAGAGTTTTTCTTTCTTTCTTTTTTTTTTTTTTTTTTAGTTGGAGTCTCAC